TCAGGCAGTCCACTCACCTCAGCCTCCCAAAGGCGTGGGATTACAGGCTGAGCCACCGAGTCCGGCCTGGTTTTCATTTCTACTTGCTTTGACAAGTTGTGATGGACTCACCCTCTGACCTTGAGCGTAATGTTCTCCCATCCCAGGCCACACTTTCTGTGTGGTGGGCATTGCTGTTGGAGTGATTTGAGGGGCACTGTTGAGGGGCTCCAGCCTCATGGCACCCTGCTCCACCTTGTTGTGTGACTGTTCTTACCCACTATGAATGGTGCCAGTTCTTTGGTAAAGAAATCGTGACTCTCCTAGGAATCATCTCGAGAATGCAGATGCTCTGGGTGGGGGATGACATTGATGTAGCTTCAGTTTTGAATATCTGCTAATGAATCTATCCCCTGGGGGGGGGGGTGGGCAGGGGGAGGGTGCAAGGCAATGAGAGGACAAGATCTTGGGGATACATTGGCACTGAGGGAGGGAGGAGACCCAGTTCTGAGGCCAGGCCAGGAAGCCAGTGAGCAGAAGTGGGAATAGCCATTGGCTGGCTTTTCCAGTGGTCATGAGCTCACAGTAGAAACATTATATTCTACTAACAAGTTAGCAAATACTCCTGTTGTCCTGTTTTTACAACAGAAGAATATCTTACCACCACTTTATTTCAGAATAGCCCTTTCGATGCTTCAAGTGTCCATGACCTTCAGTGCTCCAGGTCAGCTATTGCCCTTCCATTGATTTTTCCTCCTGCACCCTCTCTAGTTATCCTTCAAGCTCTGTGGCCTCTATATGGGCTTCCAGGATTGATTCCTTGGACATATGACTGTTGTGAAGGCCTGACCAGTCCTGAGTGTGTTGGGAAAGTGGCTTTCTTAGATCTTCCATGTATCATACACCAGTAAAATATTTCAGATCTAGGACTGATTGTTAAACAAATAGTATCCTTGTATATTCTTATAGCACTCGGCTAAAGTACTTTTGCACACATTATACCCTTTGATGACACAACCTGGGAGGTGGGCAGAAATCACTCCCCATTTTAGAAATAAACTGGAGACCAGGTTAAATGACTTTCCCAATGTCATACAGCGAATACTGGGGTGGCGGGGGGGTGGGGAGGGGTAGAGTGGGACTAGAACCAGGGTCTCTGAGGATTCCAGCACATTCCACTCACAGTCCATATTATTAAACCAGGGTTAGCCTGACATCCATCATGGTCTCCTGCACCGGGTGGTCACCAAGAAGGGAAGGAATGTACTAGCAGTCCTGCCTGCATTGGCATCCTGGCCTGAGGCTTTAAACACAGTTGTTTCTCTCTATGTTCTGGTTCCTTGTATACCGAATGGGAGCTGTGATAACAACCTTGGAGGTGTGTTTTAAGAAGGAAATGAGGTAATATGTGTGAGGCCCAGGTACACTGTAGGCATTCAGTAAGTGTTAGTGTCATCCCTGTCCGTCTCATCAGGTGCAAACGATAGCAGTGACTTCTCATTACTTTAACTATGGTCCTTTTCTGCAATAGCTATGTTATTGGAAAAATAAGGGCACACACTGAATTCTACTAAGTCAGATTGGCTTTTAAATGCATGAGATTTAGCTATTTAAAGGAAACCTGTGGTGAATTCTTTTGTAATGCAAATAATCACTTTCTAATTTTTCTGTTTAGTAAGTTGAGCTTCTTGTGTATCAGATTTTCTTAATATGGGGCTTGCTTGTATAGAAGAACTTTCACTGATGAGAAAAAAGCCACTCAGCTTGTAAACAAAATCAGTTATTGTGTTCAGTTGGCAAAGCCTTGCTCTGATGTTTGAGCATAATCTCATATTCCCTTATCATGCAATAATAGAATCTCAGAACGGGAAGCTGGAAGACACCTTAGAGATCACATGGTCCACCTCACTTATTTCACAGATGAGGAAATGGGAGCATGGAGAGGTGAAGGGACATGTCCGGTGTCACCAGCCAGGGACTGTTAGACAAGGATCCAATTCCAGACCTTTGTTGCCAGAGAAGAGCTCTGTCTGCCCCATCCCTACTCTGCCCCACCAGAAATCCACGACCATACACACGTGTTGCAGCATGGGAGAGAAGGGATACAGAAATAGGGTGCATTTTTGAAAACAACCAAAAAGAGCTATGTGTGGGCAGGCTTATGAATTAATGGCAATATTCAGCTTCACCTTTTTGTTAAAGAGCTGGATGGAATGCAGTCTGGGAATGCTGCTTTGGCCTTTTTATGAGGAAAAAATGATAATTGTTGGCTAATGAGATTCCTCAGTGAGGCTTTTACTGTATCATCTCTTCTTCTTCTTTTTTTTTTTTTGAGTTGGAATCTCACTCTGTCACACAGACTGGAGTGCAGTGGCCGCTCCCGGCCACCACAGCCTCACCTGCTGGGCTCCGGCGATCCTTCCGCCTCAGCCTTCCAAGTAGCTGGAATTACAGACTCGCGCTACCACGCCCAGGTGATTTTTTGATTTATTGTAGAGATGGGGTCTCGCTGCCCAGGCGGGTCTCGAACCCGCGGGCTCAGGCAATCCACTCACCTCAGCCTCCCTGTATCATCTCTTAACAGCACTTGCTAAGCACTGGAGGAGGACATGGCGGCAGGCCTTGATAGACCCTGTATGTGTTGGTGAGTGTGTTCCCATTGGTATCAGCTTGGCCAGGAAACCTGATTAGAAGCAGAAGTGTTTGGAAAACTGCAGTGGATAGTCTCCGCCCTGTGAGAGATTCAGAAATCACCTTCTCAGAAATACTCCCAGACGGCCCCTTCCTGATTAGTACGTCATTGTCCTTTGAGAGCACTGAAGATGTGCACATGTCAGAAAGATTTCAGTGGCGAGACAGAACCCTCTCCTCCTTTGTGCTGCCACAGCTAGTCCCTGCAGCGCTGGGGGCTTTCTCCAGAAACGGTACCCACCTTGGGGGCCTGAGGATTTGCCACTCACTAGCTCAGGCTTTGGGGCTGGACTCAACCCCTCTGAACCTTCTTTTCTCATTTACGCAAGAACGAGTGATGGGTGAATGGCAATTCACGAAGCTACCGTCTTAGGGACTCTGAGACTCTGGTACAGAGAAGGTATGTAGAAAATCAAAAGAAGCAGAATTTGGGGCTGTGACTTGTGAAGAGGTGTCCTTACCACTGGCCCTCCGGAAACAGCCAGAACACTATGGGGAGCCACGGACTCAAGTTCCAGCCATCAGCCTGCTCCCCAGGAGCCCCCAGCCAGCAGGACCGTGGCAGAAGGGGCCATGATGTATGATGTTTGGTGTACTCGGTGTGGGCTGGGAGGAGTGCACAGGAAGAGCTATGAGGGATGATGATTAAGCCTCCAGGCAGGGGTGCAGGCTCCCTCCCTGTGGGCCCAGACAGTACCAGGCGTCTGCTTCCCTTCGAAGTCAGTTTCAAGAGTGCAGATCTCACACCTCCTTGGAAAAGTCCATCAGCACAGGCAAGGTTTCTACCAAACCTCAGAGGATGGTCAGCCTGAGAGAAAAGCCGTTTTACTGCAAATCAAACACAGAACTTGATGTAGAGGTGTTTGGCTCTACAGCTCAGAGAGATTATGATTGCTTTAAAACTCATTGACTCAAACCAGGGTGAGTTTGGATTAAAGCTCACAGGAATTGTATATGAGCAAAATTAGGCAATTTAACATTATACAACAAAACCTTGCTGATGTAGTTTTGTTTTGTTTTGTTTTGAACAAACTTTCAAATATGTTTTTCCTCAGAACTTAAAAGGGAAACTAAGCCTTGTAGCTGTGGAGAGTCTGTGATTTTTATGACAATGTATCAGATTTTGAAGTAACTTCAATATTTAAACATTTTATAAGCAGCTCTGATTTTATTTTTAAAGTGACAAGCAAAATTCAGTAAAAACCTCACCAACTGGGCAAATATAGAAAAAGTTGCTCTGTTCCAGTAGACCAGGGGTGCCCAGCCCCTGGGAAGCAGACTGGTACCAGTCCATGGCCTGGTTTTTTTTTCCTTTAATTTTATTTTAAAGATGAGTATACAAGTGGTCATTGTACAGATAAAGTTTGGGTTCACTTTGGTCCCCACTTCACCTGGTTTGAGATCAGGTACACTTATTGATGAAGTTTATTCCCCCCAGTCAGTCCCCTGGAAGTTTCCTACTACTGCCAAGCCCTTTTTTATAGTATTATAATAATTGTTCAGGGTTCGCTTATAAGTGAGAACATGTGATATTCAGTTATTTGTTTCTGTGATAGATCACTGAGCATTACAGACTCTAAATCCATCCAAGTTGCTACGAAGTTCATAATTTTGTCCTTTTTTATGGCTGTATAAAAGTTCATAATTTTGTCCTTTTTTAGGAGCTAGGCATAAAGCAGGAGGTGTTCGTTTCTCATAGGAGTGGGAACCCTATTGTGAACTGTACATGTGAGGGCTCTAAGTTGCACGTTCCTTATGAGAATCAAATGCCTGATGATTCCCTGCCTCATCTGTGGAAAAACTGTCTTCCACGAAACTGGTCCCTGATGCCAAAAAGGTTGGGGACCGCTGCAGTAGACAATGAATTACAGACTAGGTTAGCGACAATAACTCCTGTTTGCTGAGCACTCACTCTGTACCTGGTACTGTGCTTTCCATGTATGTTGTGTGGCAGGCTCTGTCTCTGCTTTTATAGACAAGAAAAACAAGCTTTAGAGAGGTTACATGCAACTGATACTATGTTGCAGAGGAGGAAACACCAGGGGAAGTTCAGGTGAGCTGTCTAACAAATGAAACTGAAATGAAACCAACCGGTCATTTTCCATTTCAGTGCATTCATCCATTAAACAAAACTGATTCCTGCCTCACGGCTACTCATTCCCTCAACCTTTCCTTAAATTCGAGCTCCAAACAGACCTATGAGACTAAACATTATTGCAAACAGCAATAATTTTAGAAGCAACCCAATTTTATTACTTCCAGGACTGTACAGCAAGTGGAACTAGGTTACTGCCATATGGATAGGTAAGGATGCTTTGTGACTGACAGATGAACTGTTCGTATGGTCATTATCATTGAGAACTGTTTATTCTCCTAAGTGTTTTAAGTTCTTGGGAAGTGGCGTGGTGTAATGAAGAAAAGCTGATCTTTGGAGAACAAGAGATCCCGTCCATTTTCCCTTAAACATTCCTCCTTCTTCATATTTATCCATTTATTCTGTGCTCCGTCAGTATAAGGGTCAGCCCAGCCATGTGGTATTGGTCTCAAATTCTCTACTAGTCATCTGAGTTAATGAGGTTTTACTATCATGTGACTCACTTTCCTTGTGAAACTGTAAAACACAATCCTGCTTCTCTTAATGGGTGGTCAGTGTAACTTATGGTCTGTCACTTAAAAGGTTTAATCCAGAAAGTCTGGTTGACTTTCTAAGTGTTTCCTTTTGTGGAGTGCTTGAGGTCAGGCTGTTGTTGGATTGCAGATATTCTGAGGAAGAAGCAGCTGCTAGGAGAACTGAGTGTGAGAAACTCTCAGTGAAGTGGCGAGAAAAATCAGAAAAGGGCTAAATACTTTGGGGCAGCATAGAGGAAGCCCAAACCTTAACATGTGCTGGGGGGCAGGGAATACTTGTCATGGCAGCATAGAGCTATCTCAGCAGAGTGGGCCATTGGCTGGCCAGGCCTCTAGGTTTACTCTGAAATATGGAGCAGGGGCTATTATGAGCCCCGTTTTCTGATCTGAAAGTACAAAAAGTGCAACTTTCTTTGAAGGCATTTGGGCATATGTTCAGTTATCCCCCAGGGAAGCACCATCCTTTCTTTTGGGAAGAGGGGCGGAAAGAAAATTTTATGAACTGGAACTTAAACAAGTGAATGGAAAATAAAACCAGATGTTGGTTGGCTAGGGTAGAGGAGAATTGTCCAAATTTCAGGTTTCAAACCCACATATAAATAGGTTAGAAATGAGCATTAGATTAAACATCCTGCCAAAGTAAATTGGTGCTGTTTATTCTCTTAATTAGATGTGCTTTTCAAATCTCAGATTCCCTATGTTAAGTCAGTTCTCATTTTCAGTTAAACCTTTTCAAAAGTCCTTTGAAAGAATCTTATGGAATTCTTTGGGGGCAAATGCCTTAGGAAACAACAACAACAACAACAACAAAAGTTTCCTATAGATTTTCCTGTAGACTTTTTCACTCCAGGTTATTTCTAGTCTTGATGAAATAACTGTTTTTCCCACTGAGTCAGACAAAATTAAGAAGCTCTTCAGTTGATCAACAGCTTTGATTTGCTCCCAGTGATGCTAGGATCAAGGTGTGTTTCCTTCAGAACTGTAAGCATACCCATTGCTTCCACACTGGCAAATTTATTTGAAGCCCTGGCAATAGTAATAGGAATATCTTCACTATAAACTTCCCTATGTGTTTAATTTTCAAGTCTTTGTCTGTTATCAGGGAAGATTAAGATAATTTATATGAAATAGCTGATTTTCTATGTTAAATTTTTTTGCAAGTTACAAAACTTATGCATTTTTGAGCTGTTTGGGTGAATTTTTTTCTTTCTTTATAATGGAATATTCACTTTTTCCCACTGAGAAATCTGAGGCACCAAAAAATGTCATTAACAGATGACTAGCTTGTTGAATACATCACAGGAAATAACATTTTATTATGATTTTGTTGACAAAATTTAAATGCTAAATTCAGATAACTGTAACAAAATAAGAACAGATTTGAAAAGAAATAGTGCCATTAATCACAGGATTTTTACCTTCATGGACATGGGGTTTATTGAAATAAAATGATAAATAAAAATACTTTCTGACTTGGGAGAATCAACCTAGTTTCTGGTACTTTTCTGCTTCCCTTGCTCCAAAAGTGTCATCAATCTCTCTGTTTAGATGCAGGGCAGCCAGGTGTTCAGAATCACAGGGGGACAAAAAGAATTAGTTTCTTACTGAATAGAGGAAATTAAAAAAAAAAAGAGGTTGGCATACACAGGGCTTAAAAATGTGAAAAGTGTAGACACATTGAACTGAACCTCTTTTTTCCCCCCTCCTCCTGCTTCAGGAATAATTCTGCTACAAGGCTGATTTCAAGGACGTGAATTGTTGACCTCACCCCAACATTGGAACCTCAGATGTTATTCTAATTTTTGCACCATCCCAGGCAAGTTGACCCTGCAAGGAAATAACATTGAACCATAGGGGTCTGATGGAAATTCACTGTGACGTTCAAATCCAAGAAAACTTGCTGATGCCCACAGAGCCTTTCCCCCATGGGCCCTGATGGTAGCCTCCAGAAGGTGCAGCCTCAGGTGCTCTCCCTTCTTCTGTGGCAAGAATAAACTCCGGGTCTTGGCTTGCAACACCACCTGTGGAGAAAATGGTATGCGAGGGAAAACGATCAGCCTCTTGCCCCTGTTTCTTCCTCTTGACTGCCAAGTTCTACTGGATCCTCACGATGATGCAAAGAACTCACAGCCAAGAGTACGCCCACTCCATCAGGATGGATGGGGACATTATTTTGGGGGGTCTGTTCCCAGTCCATGCGAAGGGAGAGAGAGGGGTGCCTTGTGGGGAGCTGAAGAAGGAGAAGGGGATCCATAGACTGGAGGCCATGCTTTATGCAATCGACCAGATTAACAAGGACCCTGATCTCCTTTCCAACATCACTCTGGGTGTCCGGATCCTCGACACGTGCTCCAGGGACACGTATGCTTTGGAGCAGTCGCTCACGTTCGTGCAGGCATTAATAGAGAAGGATGCTTCCGACGTGAAGTGTGCTAATGGGGATCCGCCCATTTTCACCAAGCCTGACAAGATTTCTGGTGTCATAGGTGCTGCTGCAAGCTCCGTGTCCATCATGGTTGCTAACATTTTAAGACTTTTTAAGGTAGGTAAAGCGTTTCTGACCATTGTGGAAGGACAATGAATCGTTGTGACTTCAACTTCAGGCTTAAGAAGAGGGTGAAGATAGTGCTCGTTGACCCTCCCAGGGTACCAGGTTCTGCCAATGGGGCGGCGTTCTGTGTCTGGGTTTGTGAATGTGTCGGTTTAATTCCATTAGTTACAAGTGGTTTGATTAATTTTTGCCTGTGTTGCTTCCCTAACAAAGGAAAGGTGGATACGTTCTGTGATATATTGGGTCTTTGTTGTCTTGGGATAACCTCCTTACTAGGCTCATTGTAGAAGCAAGTGTTTCTAGCACTTTTGTCATACAAAACATTTCTATGGTATTAGAGCTATAAGACAAGGCACTTTGTGAAACTTCTTTCAGGTGGGATGACTGCTGAAACTAAATTTCCTTTGTGAAGAAACAGTATTTATTAATAATGTGTAGATGGGAGTGACATTCTGGGGAGATAAGATGGCCAGTAAAATTGCCAGGTGTATTATAACTACAATACAGCAGCACCACATTATTTCAGACTGCTCTGATACAGAATTGGAATAATTATATGTAATTCTTGTTGAGTTACAAGTTCAAATTTAGCAGGATAAATCAAGACTTTTTGATTTGAGTTTGATGACCTCTTACCTATGTATTCCCTTCGAATATCAAACAAAATTTGCAATACGAAATCATATATGTAAAAACACTTTGAGAAGCACAAAGTGCCATAAGAATAAAGTTAGTTTAACTTACCATTTTTGGTAACTTTCTCATTTTATGTATTAATAGCCACAGTCTTTTGTAATAGACATAATTTGTTTAATTGGAAATACTTTTCACTCTGATTTCTTCCTTAGTGGGATGTGAATTTTCCAACTTAGGGCGAATTAGTGATATTTGTTTTATATGGTGAAAAACGATTGCTATACACATTAGATTGAGAAATATTAAAAGAATATGGAGAGGTTGGATAGACAATTGTGACCAGAAAAACCAAAGTGATGGGAAATGTCACACAAAAGATGAAAAGAATGGATTAAAGGATTTCTGGGTTGGCAGGTATCTTGGGGGCCCACCTCATTCGGCTCACTTGTCTTGCTGGAATCCTCTCTGTGACATCCCCCTGAGTGGCTGTGTAGCCTCTACACGAATTCCCTTAGTTTGGAAGAGAAAATGCTAAAAGACAGCGTCATGGTTGTTTGCAGATGGATGGAATTTTCTCAAAGGAGGAGGATGCTGAGCGGAAGCTCTGTGAGTCTAAGGAGTACTGAAGAGACACACACAAGCTTGGGGAGTGCAGGAGACATTTAAGCAGGACATTAGGAAGAGCCTCTTGGCAATGAGAAGGATGTGGAATTAAAACAGGCAGGCAGCATTGCTTTATTTCTCCTTCCCTAGAAACCTTCAAGAGAAATTAGGCAGTTAATAATTTCTGTTGGGTTAGCTGACTCCTTGCCCAGAGGCAAGCTGCAGAACCAGGATTCACCAGGTTTCCTCCTGGCTGTCCCAATTCTGGGCCACATGGCATTTTCTGCTCTGGGGTGAGGGTGGGGGTGTCCAGCCCAGATACTTCTTCATCTCTTCTCCTGGAATCTTCCCTCCCTTTTCACCCGCTCCAAGGCCACCTCTTTCCTATTTGTAACTCAGTGGCTGTGGTTCAAAAACACCCACTTTTAGAGGAGAGGAAAACCTTCACAAGCATCTTCTCCCGTCAGTGGCCCTCCCTGACACACCAGTTCTGGTTCCCATCAATCCCATCATCATTCCCATGAATGTTATCTTCTTGTCGTCTGATGCCCAAGCTAAAGCGGGCAGGGATTGGAGGAGGGGAGTGGAGAGGAGGGGAGGAGATAAGGGGGTGCTTGTTGGAAGTTTTCAAAGTTTATTTAGGTAATCTTTGTTCCAGAATCAGCTTCTCTGTAAAGGAGGGACAATCATAAGACTGTGATAGGTTGTTGGCTGTATTTTATGAGAGCATGCAGCGAAGGCTTCTGTCAGGACCTGGCCACGTCTATTGGTTTTGTGGGCTGCTGATGGAAACTTCAGGCCACCTGAAGGCAGGGAGGGGAGGTTCGCCTTACACAGACTGGAGCTGCCTTCCCTCTGCTCTGTTTCCCTCACTGTCTGGCCAGTTCTCTCTCTCTCTCTCTCTCTCTCTCTCTCTCTCCCCCCCCCCCACTCTCATGGTGGGAAAGTAGGATTTATTGAGAAGACAAAAAAATTCCCACAGTGGGAGGGAACCCGAGAGGGTTGCCCAAGGCCACTTCTCTTACTCGGTTAGGTAATTCTGGAGGGACCCCATCTGACAGGGTGAGAGAACAACTATTGACCTGCTGGGCAGAGTCCAATGCTCCAAGCCGACTGTTTTTAAAAAAAATTCATTTTATTTTTAAAAACTATTTATTTATTTATTATAGAGTTGTGGGGTACGAGTGAGGATCTGTTACATGAGGAGACGGTATGCAGGTGAAGTTTGGGTTTCTACGTGGTCCTCACACCCCCGGTAGTGGACCAGGTTGAGACTGGTCTGCACAGGAAGGGCTGCCTTTGTTGCCTTTGACTGAAGTTGTAGGGAGTGGGTCACTTTTTATCCGGGAGGGGGACACTGATTGTGGTGAAGATCATAACAGATATCAGTGTGCTGGCCCAGAGTGCATCAAGCAAATCTAATTATTCACCAGTCCCTGAACTTGAAAAATTTGTCTTGTTCGAAAGTCAGTGAGAGGGTGTGGGTGGTCTGCCCACCTTCTGGTTGATATTGGAACCCTATGAATGTGAATTAGGTGATAGCACTGTGCATCACTGTTGTGCTACTTAGATGTACTGTGGTGGTATACATGTGACCTTCAGTTGGTGTGCCACAGTGATTTTTAAAATTATTATTATAAAGATGTGGAGTATAATTCAGAGTTAGGAATACAAACATTGATTATGCAGGTACCCTTGTTGGTGAGGTATGCCCCTCCCTCCCCTAGCATTTTTCCTCAACTGCCAATCCCATCCCCCCTCCCTTGTTAGTTTCCCACTACTGTCAATCCCTTTCTTATGATATTATAATTGTTCAAGGCCCGCTTATGAGTGAGAACATGTGGTACTCTGTTCTTTGTTTCTGTGAGAGATCACTGAGTATGACTGACTCTAAATCCATCCAAGTTGCTGCGAAGTCCATATGTTTGTCCTTCTTTATGGCTGCATAGTATTCCATTGTGTATATGTACCACATTTTAAAAATACAGTCCAGCCTTGATGGGCAACACGGTTGGTTCCATGTTTTTGCTATTTTGAACAGAGCTGCAATAAGCATACCTGTGCAGGTATCTTTTTTTGTAGAATGATTTGAGTTCCTCCGGGTATATTCCCAATAGGGGAATTGCTGGGTCATGTGAAAGGTCAATTTCTAGTTCTTTCAGAAGTCATCACACTGTCTTCCAAAGAGGTTGCACTAGTTTGCATTCCCACCAGCAGTGTAAAAGCGTTCCTTTTTCTCCCTGTCCTTGTTAGCATCTGTTGTTGTTTGTTGTATTAATGATGGCCATTCTTACTGGGGTTGGGTGGTATCTCAATGTGGTTTTGATTTGCATTTCTCTGATGATGAGTGAGGCTGAGCACTTTTTCATTTGTCTGTTGGCTGCAAATTTTATATCTTCTTCTGAGAAGTGTCTATTCATGTCTTTTGCCCACTTTTTAATGGGGCTGTTTGTTTTTTCCTTTTGGAGCATTTGAGTTCCTTGTAGACCCTAGATGTTAGGCTTTGTCAGATATACAGTTGGCAAATATTTTTTCCCATTCTGTGGGCTGTCTCTCTGCTCTATTGATGGTTTCTTTTGCTTTGCAGAAGCTCGTTAGTTTGATGAGGTCCCACTAGTCTTATTTCTTAAGGTATGGGCATTTAGGGTTCTGAATAGGAATTGGTGGCCAGTTCCAATTTCCATATGGGTGCTAACTGCATTTTCTAAGATTCTTATAGTTTGAGGTTTTACATTTAGGTCTTTGATCCATTTAGAGTTATTTGGAGTTAATTTTTGTGTACGGTGATAGGTAGGGGTCCCGTTTCAATCTTCTGCATGTGGTCAGCCAGTTTTCCCAGCACCATTTACTGAATAGGTTCACAGTGATATTAATTATGAAATAATGATGATCACTCTTGGGAAAAAAATTGTCCACTTGATGTATGGGTGACTTCTGTGTATACATATATGTTAGGACTGACATGAAATATTAGAATAGTTATCAAAGGAATAATTAGCAGTTAGTGCATCGGAGATCAGCAGACAGTTCCATTTTTAAAAATAATAATTTTCTTAAGCAAAATGCAATGACTTGAGTAAAAGTAAATTTTAGGACAGTTTTATGGAGCTCAGGCCTCTCCAGGACAGCGGGAGACCCATAGACTCTAAAAAGAAGTACTGAAATCAATGTATTGCTACATATTCCCAGGTTAAGGGAGTTACAGAAGGTGGCATAACTTCATTTGAAAACATACAGTTAACCCGGATCATAAAGAGTACAAATAATGTCTTACCTTATGAATTTACTCACTGTCCTACTCAGCAATAAACATGAATTGGGGCTTTAAGAATGCTCGTATGACTGGAACCTGTTTAAAATTTTATAGACACTATTTGGGCCCAAATCAGAAGTCACCTCCAAATATCTCAGTTCTCTTTTTGGGGGTGGGGGACAACTTCAGAAAGACCACGTCTTTCCCTGCAAGATCTACCTGAACTGACCAGAGAAGGAGACAGATTCTTCCAGGAGTCCCTTTCTTCAGCCTTGCTCCTCCTGGGGCAGTTTCTCCTGTTCTTTATTCCTCAGCGTTCTCCTAGTCAAAATCTGATACAAAGGATCTGTGTATAACCGGTCATCTGCATGTTAGTATGTCTGGGTTTAAGGCAGAGGAGGTTTTTCTTTCCTGTGGGATCACTAACTGTGCAATGAAATGATATGTCTTTGTAAAGGGGATCCTGGCATGAGTGGAGGAGGTTTATTCAGCTCTCGCAGAGACCACACCCCATGGATAACCTGTCTCCTGTGCCTGG